CCTACATCGGTTCCAAGGCTAAAAGTCCCAATTCATTGAATGACAACTCATGCTTAGCTGTAATCTGATTGGACGCATCCCACTTGCCCCACTTACCAAATTGTGCAGAGAAAAGTAGCCTCCAAGCATCTGAGTTCTATAAATAGCAGCGTAAATCAACAGAGAAAGGGGCTGATAGAAAAATTTAAAAAAAATAGTATATCACTCTATAAATATTTAGCATAGTTTCGAGTTCGTAATCTCAGAGGTCAGGAGAGGAAGGTTGTGCGACAAAGTCTCAGACTAAACAGAAGCCATACCCGATCCATCATTCTCCTCTATTATTATCTGTTATCTTTATGTTCTTTGTTTTGTTATTCTTTTATAAAAGTAATATTTCTGTAACTCCGTTCTTTTTCTCTCAATAAAAGATATGGATTGCTATTTGGTTGTTTACATTGTTGTATCTAAAATGAGTGAGTAAACCAGCCATTCTGGGGATGGATTAATATATATTACCTCCGAAATACTGGACGGCTTTATAAAAAATTGAATCATCTATAATGTGATATAGATTTATGGTTCAATTTATCAAGATATACGCTTGTAAAATAAAACCGGGTCCCTTTATTTACTTGACATTTAGGTAGGTAAGCGAAGGATCAAAAGACGAAGTTCAAGCATCTAAATCACATAAATTGAGCATTGATTTTATATCTAGAAATAGAATAAAGCCACTGTAAAAAGGGGGAAGCCTATTATATATGCAACGTACGAAAGGCGTCATACAAATGTTATAGTTGACTACCTCAAAAAGAAGATAACTAACTAGAACACTTTGTCCTTCAAAAAATATATCACCGGTGCTTACTTCGTTGCCGCCCACTTTTGGATGGTAGTGGAACAATCCATCAACATAATACTTTCTCATTTATAAAATCAAAAAGAAAAAATATATATATTTCTAAATACTAACTTCTAATTGCTAACCTCTCGCTAAATTTTATTTTATGTTATTTAATTCTTTTAATTTCTGCTCTTTTACTTTACTGCACTTTAATTTTCGACAATTTACTTTATCGCACTTCTATTTTATTGCACCTTTATTTTATTTAAATTCCAGTCATTTATTTTTCTACTATTTAATTATTTATTTTATGCATAACTCACCCCCTCTTATTGATCCTGTCTGATAATTAAGTATTCAAAAGATTCTAGTACTCAATCCTTCCAATCTCTATAGATACGATATTTTATATGTTAACTTATACAACCCGTTAATACTTGCGGTACAATCTCACCGCTCGTTATTAGCCGTTGTGGGCACGTGTCATCTAATATATACTATAGAGTACTATAATTTATAACCACATCCATCAATGATCCTGCTTCATCCAATTATCATCTAAGCAATCACAAACAAATTCAACAAATAATGCAAGTCTAACTAATGTCACCCATTTATGCAAGTATACGATGCACATAACCGAAGGCGTTTTGCCAGGAAGTTGGTGGGTTCATCATGAATTAGGTCGGGGTGGCTGGTGGTGAAATCATCTAGGAATTGATCTTGGTTTGTCATCCTCTTCTCTAATAGGCGAAAGGAATCTTCCTTCCCAAATCAGTAAGCAATATTAATATATAGTATACAAGCACATATATGATGCTAAATATTTGATTTTCAAGAAAGCTTTGAAAGGAATCACTCACAGACCACGGAAAGTTAAGCTTCAATAATGCTGCTAATAGAATCCCAGAGTCGTATTTCCGGTCTTGGATAGCTCATAGGGAAAACAATAATATAAAGAAGATATCAGACTCGAGAGAAACGAACAGAGTTACCAACTAAGGTTTACAGGAATCAATCCATGCAATGAAGATATAGGGATGAGGAGGTTTTGATTAGCGTAAGGGAAAGTTTAATAGGTGCAATGAAGGTTAGAAACATGACTGTCATTGTGAGGGGAGCCAATTGTTACCTTGCTTCCGCGAACGGTGGTCAAAAAGTCGATTAGAGAGGGAGGTCGTTGATTCTGCGATTAGGGAGAGAAGTTTCTAGGGCTTTTGCACTTTTCTGTCTCCTAATGATTGGCTAAGATCTTAATCTGGTTCAAATCATTGGTTCGGTTTGTTTTGTCTCTAGTTTGGAGCTTCTTGTTTGGTTTATATTTGATTCTTTTTGTTTAAATAGTGGTTTGGTTCTCTTGTTTTATTTTATTTATAAAATTTCATCTATTAAAATAAAATAGTTACTTTTAAATTCTCAAATTTTTTTTAAATTAATTGAAAATTTTTTGAAATTTAAGAATCAAGTCATTTCAAACTATCAATATGCAATTGAACTGATCCGATCAATTGGTTCGGCTCAATTTTAAAAATATTGTGGCACATAGTCATATATTATTTTGCTTCTCCCATTGGAATTAAGACAAATATATGAATTCTTTAGTCCTTTTATTAGTAATTTTCGTTTATTTCTTTTCATTAACATAAATTTAATATTCTTTTAGAAGAATTATAAGAAAAAGTCAAAAATCAACAGTTTAGATACAAGATTATCCTTTGTTGGAAAAGAACAAAAGTTTACGAGTTAGTCGGTGTCAAAACTAATAAAGTTGATTTTTTTTAATGGGCTTTCAACCTTTCTAAACTTTTAGGGGCCAAATGTAATATTTTTATATCTTGAAGGATTAAAATTTAATTTTTATAAGAAAACTTTTTTTTTAAATTGTTTTTGTGGGGGACACGGCCACTTGGGCCCCAACGGAGCTCCGCCCCCTTTCAACGCTTATGTACTTACGAGCATAAAATGTCTTCACTCAAGCATTTATTAGGACATATCATCTAACTCTCCCATAATTACATTTGATTGAATGTAATTAGGAACACAAGTTAATTGTTTTTATAAAAAATATAACTTAATTTATCGCTTGATCTTGATTGTGATGTAGTCTCTCCATGACATTTTGTTTGCATAGTTTGACAAAACATACATTTAAAAATTTAAACAGTAAAAGTTATTTTACCATTTTTTTTACCCTTAACTCATTGAAGATATTAATAAAAGTCTCTCATTTAATGAAGGATCATAAAGGATATCGTGAAAAAAATAATTATTTACATGTCTAAATTTAAAAATCTTTAAACATCTTGTAAACAGTTTGGGACATCTAAAAAGAAATAACAAGTAAACAAAATGGGATGAAATGAGTACAATTTACTCAAAAATAAAACATTTAATTGGTATGGTATGTCACAAAGTAAGTCTTTAGGTAAATTATATATTACTTGAAGTTTAAGAACTCTATTTCTTTTATATATATCTATATCCATGGCTTTAAATACCGTTGACTCTCTTATGCCCTCAATTTGTCTCTGTTTCTTGCAACGAAGTTGTCTGTTATTAGCAATTTGAAATTGTAGAAAAACAACAAATCTCATCTACAATAACTAACCATAAATCTCTCTTTTTCAAGTTTTTGTCCCTCTAAGGAAATTCAAAGTGACCAAAAATGGTTACTAATAGACAACGAAACCGTGTTTGTTTAAGGATTTGTTGAATGATGATTTAATTTGATTAAGTAATTCTATTATGAAAATAAAATTAAGATTTTCTGCTTTATTTTTAGTGATTGATGATTTAGATAATTACAATTTAATTAGGGATAAAAAATATATTTCAAGATCATTAATTAATTCCTAAAACATAAGCTTTAAATCGTGTATTTCACTTATAATAGAAGAATTAATTAGTAATTCACTTAAAAAAAAAAAAAAAAAAAAGCTTTGATTTGTGAATGATGATATTAATTTGATTAAGTAATTCTATTATAAACATAAAATTAAGATTTTTCTGCTTTATTTTAGTGATTGAAATGATTAGAATAGTTACAATTTTAATTAAGGGGTAAAAAAAATATAATTCAAGATCATTAATTAATTCCTAAAAACATAAGCTTTAAAATCGGCGTGTAATTTCACTTATAGATAGCAAGAATTAATTAGTAATTCATTAAAAAAAAAAAAAAAAAAAAGCTTTATTTACTTTGCCGTTTTTCACCCTCTAAATTAAGACTTCTCCATGACTCTTTCATCTCCGAAGGGATAAAATAATAAAAACCGCAAATCTTAAATTTCGAATTGTCGGATCCAACACCTATTTTTCCCTACTTGCTGCATGATTAGGTGATATAAGAACTCTACAGTTTAGTGATACTGATGGTTGAGTATGGATCGGGTATTACATTACCCACTCCGCCCCACCACCGTGTTACGGGGCGGGGTGGGGAAAGGCAATGCATGGGTCGAATTGGATAAATCCATTTAAAATGTCTAAATTTTTTTTTTTTAATTTTTTCACTTTAGTAAAAAACATATATAAATAACTGATAAAAAATGAAAATAAATACCAACCGTATAATTGAATGTGCATGTACATGATAACCACAATGAAAATAAGACGAAGTTTATAGTTTCATTTCAAGATGATAAATAAAGGAAAAAATCAAAAATTAATTAGACCATATCAATTATAAACCAAATAGCAAAATTAAAGAAAATAGACATCGAAGAACCAAACAAATAGAAATGATTTGTTACATGTAATTTTATTGGTAACAATAGAAAAATCTACAGCCGCAAAAATTTCTCTGAAGTTCAATTTATTTGATATTTGAAATTTGATGACATTTAAACTCCTAGGTTATTAAATTAGATCAAGTTATTTATTTTTATATATATTAAAAAGCTGCTCAGATAAATAAAAATTTAATCGGATCAGATTTGAGGCAGATTATTTATTACCTGCTACCGACCCAAATCCATAATGGGTATAATCTTTAATATCGACTCCACCCCATTTATTAAATAGATCGGGTAAAATCTACCCAATAGAATCAGATCGGAGCAAAAATCCATCAGGACTGTATATGCATGAAATGTATTTCCATCCAGCATCTTTTCTTTTCTATTTTGTGTGCTCCCTGAATTTTCTTCAAAAAAAAAAAAGCTAAAACAAGATGTAGGAGCAGCTTTTAGATTCTTTCATTGCTTTACAAAAATTTAGTGGAACCTTCACTTCAATATATTAGAAGGCTATTTACAAGTCAAATTCAAAGAATTCGCTGGACCTGCCCTTAATATAAACATGCCGCCTGCAAAATACCACCATATCAAAAAATTTCAGGGGCAGGGCAACCATTACAGCATAAATTTCTACTCCAAAAATACCTGCAGTTTAACCTCCAGAATATGACTAGGAATAATCAAATCATTATATAAATCATAATCCAGAAATTCTCGGAAAATGTAGTATTAACACATATACCAGTTGAAAATATCAGAGGTTCAGTTGATTATCTAATCTGCAAAAAAGCATGGGGGAGAATGGTTAATGCTACCAGATTATGGATAGATTAAAAAATATATTTAAACAAACTTAGAGAATAATGATGAAAAAGCATCATTTATCTACTTCGCCCATCCAATTTTGTGAACACATCAAAGCTTGAATGGTGGTTGGTCGCAGGGAACTCCATTCCCGATCAAGCGCCCTCCCTCCATTGCTAAAAGCAAACTCTGGTGTAACTTTTGACATGGGAATTCCCAAAATATTCCGTGCCATCATAGCTAGAATAGGATATCTTGGAGTGTGAACTTTCCACCAATTTAATATGTTGAAGTCAACACTTCGAGGAAAGAGAGGTTCTTCCAAATACTTATCCAAATCTGATTTTGCACCTTGACTCTGATTGGTTTCATGGAGAAACTTGTCAAATCCAGTCAGTCTATCCTTGCAATCCCGACCAGTACCAGTACCAGGCAAGCTGCCGGTGCTACCACTAACTTGACAAGTCAGACCTTGGTCAAAAGAAGCTAATGGAGAGCCAATTGAATGTTCATTATACAGTGCCTTTATATACTCAAAAACTTCATCTATTAACTCTCCAGAACCAGTACCAAATAGTTGTTGATAGTAATACTCTATCAACTTTAGCTTGAATCGAGGATCTAACATGGCTGCAACTGCTAAAGCAAAACTACATTTTTCCCAATACTCATCAAACTTGTTTTTCATCTTCATCACTGTAGAACGAATAAAGTCATCTGAGTTCTTGCACCATTCAATTAACTGCAAGTGAATATCACAAATCTCAGGGAAGTATATGTTTGAAGTTGGATACTTGTTCTTCACAAAAACATTAGTAACTTCAACAAAGTGTTTCAAATAGCTTGTAATGGTCCTCGCCCTGTCCCACTCTAAATCAGTTGGACATGATGCATAGGCAGGGTCTTGCGCCTGAAGAAGAGAAAATGCCCACCTGTACTCCAAGGCAACTTCAAGCATAGAGTATGTTGAGTCCCATTGCAATAGATTGTCGAGACATAAGCACTTCTGACTCTCAATTCCCCCTTGTAGAGCTATCTCATTGAACTTCATTAGAGTTACTTGTGAGCTTCTAACATAACGAATGCTTTCCCTAATCTTTTGTGTCACCTCAGAGAGTGCCTCCAATGCATCATGAACCATCAGATTGAGAAGATTTGCAGCACATCGTACATCAAATAGCATACCATTACAGTAGAGGAACCTATTCTGAGATAATCGATCTCTAATTCTATGGACAACGTTGTCATTGGCAGAATGACTATCAAATGTCATTGAAAACAGCTTGCGGTCTATATCCCAATCCATCAGACATGACATAATGACTTCCGAATGCACGTCATCAGTATGAGTTGGATCAACCAAAATGAAATTCAATATTTTCTTCTTTAATTGCCAAGCTTCATCAACATAGTTTGCTGCCAAACACAAGTATTGAGCATTGTCTTCTGCAGACCACGTATTGGCACTAAGGCTGATCTTCCCAGATAATTTATCTAGTAGCTCATAAACCTTCTGTTTCTCTTGTAAATAGATATCCACACAGTCAGCCTCCACTCTGTCAGATGTTACAAGCTCAAACAACGGCTGTAGATTCTTAACAAAAATCCTGAACCCAGCATGCTCAACCATTTGTATTGGATACCCATGTAGAATAATCATGCGGGCTATATCAAATTGACTTCGCCTTTGATCAAAGTTACTTCTTGCAAGAGTAACAGCTTCATCTTTCACCAGCCCCTGGTCAAATTTATAATTCACAACTATAAGTGGTTCATCCCTTCTTTGCTCCTGATCAATGTCTGTATTGGCAAGGGCAAGAGCTCCTTCCTTTTTCTTTTCCCTAGGCGTAAAATATTGACCAACGCCGTGATTAGTATATTGAGTAATGCCATGATTAGTTCTTCTCTGACACCTAATTAAATGGTTCCTCAAATGAGAGGTTCCACTAGTACTTGATCCACTAAGTTTTTTCTTACAATGTCTACAAACAGCTACAAATGTATCACCCTTTTTCACCCTATCAAAATCATTCCATACTAAAGATTTTAATCTGCTGGATTTCACTATCACTGCATCTGAAACATCCATGGCATCTGATACTTCAATGATTTCTGTCCATTAGAGCAATTCCCAAAAATTATTCAATACAACATACCAAAACTGCTATATAAGGGTACCATCAAAATCATCAGATTAAATAATCAACGACGACTAAAATTAGGGTTATGAAGCGTCTAATCAAATGCCAATAAACTCATCCAGAAATTCTTAAACTAAACATATATAAATCCTAAAAAATAGTTCCACGATATACAAAGAGATTGTGTTTTATAAGGAAGAAATTGTCTTTCTTTTCCTTTTCGACAGATATAGATATGTAATATCTCTCGATAGGATTCACTCACTTGATTTGCTGGTGCCGGAGAATGGTCGGTGACAAGAGTGGAACCATAGTAGCGGTAAATACGCGGTGGCGAAGCCTCAATGGTGGGTGGTCTACGGTTTCTGGAATTGAGATAAAGAAAATTTTTATAATTCTCGTGCAAATTGCGATATTTGGTAAATGAATAAAAAGGGCAGGAAAATGAATAGAGGTGTGGTCGTGTGGGCAGAAGAGGGTGGCGGCACAAGAAAGAAAGAATGAAAGGGTAAAAAGTTTAGGGCTTGCACAAAACTGTAAATAATAATAATAATAATAATAATAACAATAATAAAGGGTTAGCTTCGACAGAAATTATTAATTAACCATTAGAGAAGTCAAAAAATTAATACAAGACCTAGTAGTATATTCTCCCAACTTCGGCTTTTGAAATTTCATCCTATTTTTAACCTTTTTGTCAATTTTACTGAAATTTCCATCGTTTATAGGGATCGCACATTCAATTAAAATTACAATTATAAATAAAATAATTTTTCATCTATTTTTAAATCATCATGTAACACTAATAAAATATTTTTATAAAAATTTGAAAAATTCCACTAGTCTATCCAATTGACATTGCACACATTAGATTTTTAATTTTTTGAAATAAATGTACTAATTAATAATTGAATAAATAAATTTTTATCACTTATCAAAAAATCCAAAGCATGATATAAAAAAATTCAATTAAATAAAATATAATTCTTTTCCGTTACGTACTTTAATTTTTTATCATCATATGGGTAAAAAAATCTCAATCATTTAATTCTTTGGATTGATAATATAGCCAAATTATTTTCATTTAATAAAAAAAAATACATAACTTCCTAATCACTCTAATCGCATGTTTCAAATATCATTTATAAATCTATAAATATGTCATCCACTAAACGTAAGTATAATTTAATATTCAAAGGAATTTTCAAATTTTATTTTTATTTGTTCAATATTAAATAAAGAAAAGGATGAAAATGCTTGTTCATTTGCAATTTCATCATTGATTGCAATTGAAGGTGATATTATTGTAAAAAGCCAAAATTGAAATAAATTTGACAAAAATGTGAAATAGAGTGAAATTATAAAAGGTTAAAAAGTTCGAGATATTATAATACATTAAGCCTTACTAAAATCATCCTACTCACAAATTTTGAGTATGATTTACTTTTATAACAGGCAATTCTATGTTTAATATTTTTTTATAAGTGATGACTAATATATTTTGAAATACAAAAGTTGGCTATGTGAAAAAATTTTGTAATCTAAAATTATGCTTTATTTCATATTTGACAATTTCTTGAAAATTGGGCAAAAGGTCAAAGAATTTTTGTTCACTATTCTTGATAGAGAAATATGCAAAACTTGAGAAAATTATTCCGATTTTCAAGTCACTAAAGAGTTAGAGATAAAATAAATAATAAGAGAGAATTAAGATATAAAATATAAAAAATAACTACTAAATAAATACCTATTTCAAACCTCAATCTTATTCATATTATAACTGCTACATCAATGTCTATTTTAAATGTCAAAAATAATAGATTTATTGTCCAAAAATCAATAGTGTGTATAAAGCTATATAATACTAAAAACGGAAATGAATGATTATAAATTGATTATATACTATTCATGCATGACATCAGATGAAGATAAATAATGTATTATATTTCTATGTATAATATATAGGTTGAATATATAAATTCACCTATGAACTTTATAATTTTAATCTTGTGACATTCGAAACTTTGCGAATGACCTATCATATACTTGAATTTATAAATTTTGATAATATTACACATTTTTCAACACTAATATTAATAATTTTTAGGATTTTGATTTTTATCTTTAAAATATTGACTTGATATGTAGTTAATATGATTTTTAAAATAATAATTTTCATAAATTTTAACTTTTCATGAATGCTTAATTGAACTAATTTTGCAAGTTGAGGCGTTCAATAAAATAATTTTGAAAATTGAAATGTTTAATATATGCACTTTTATAAGTTTAAGTGTTTACTGAGTCAAAGTAAAAACTGAGGGTACCACAAGATTAAAATAAAAAAGGTTCAATGATCAATTTATGTATTCTGTCTATAAGTTTAATCTTTGATAGAGGAAAGATGAGTACACGCAATTGTAGGTCTAATACATAAATTTGACATGAATTGTAGCTGAATTTCTTTGTGGCCTCTTTTGTTTCGCGGGAGTTCAAGCATGCCATACATTTTCGCATTTCAGTAATAAACATGCTCCTCACTGGAATAAAATAACTTTTTAGGATTTAATCATAATCTTGTATTTTCACATTTTGTTTCGGCAAAGTGTATAGTTATTATCAAAATATGAAAGTCTAGAATCATGATGGATTCCCCATAAAGTTTGGGGAGCAACAAAGATAGTCACTGAAAATATAGGGTCAAAATTTATGTATTACACATGTAATTATATTTTAACATAAAGCAATATAAACTTTTAAAAAAATCATTAATTTAATTTCTTTTACAATAAATATAAATAATAATATTCATATTTTTAAAAGCTATGTGAATTGTTATTTAGGCTTTGTATGTTTCAAAAAAGTAATTTGCTTTGAAAATATTTTTCATATTTTCGATGTTTTGGATGCACGAAAAAATTAAATAATAAAAAAATATCTTTCTTGTCGAAGCAAAAAAAAAAAAAAATTCTAGCCAACTTCAAGAAGTTACATATTATTTTAGAGCATCTCTAGCAACTTTCATTTACATTGCTTTGTTGAATAATTCTTCAAGTCAATATATATATGTCTGTGATTAAATTATTTTTAAATATTAATTAACATAAACATTAACATTGATATTCTATTAATTTAAAAATACCTCTATAATATTTATCATTTTAAATAGTCATTGTTGTGATTTTTTATGCTAATTAAATTAATTAATTAAAATGGAAAATGAAATAATTTTGATTTTTATATAAATTATATGATTAATTTAATTAACTAAAAGAAATATTAATATTAATTTTATTATTTTACATCATCCATATTGATCAAATTAATTAATTAAATTGAGAATCATAGTAATTTAGTTTTTTAAAATGATCCATATTAATTAAATTAATCACGAGTAATTCATTTAAAATACTCTCAATTTTGTGGTTTGTAACAATTATATCCTAAAATGATATTAACTCTCTCAACACTCTAATTTCAAACTTTTATAATAATTATACAACAATTTAAAATTTGGGTTTAAAAAATAATAAATAATAGGAACGATGGGACCCACTGTTGATACATAGTTAAAAGTAACCCAACTCATGTCAACTGAAACGCACCTTTTCATATAAAACAATCCAACCTCCGGAAATCGCCGATCTGTCTCCCCTAAGTCTCGTCCTCAACCGGAAACGAGTATCCTTTGGCTAATTCTTTGAGTGTTTTCAACCTCAAAATAATAAAACGGCAACAACAAGTCAACAACAATGAATCTCTTGTCCATTATTAACCAAGTTGTTGACCTTACGAGCACTACTACAAGGTAAACACTCTATGGGCCCAAGGTTGATACGTGGGCCATGTTCTCACCTTCATGGAAGACTTTTGTTGAAGATGCCTTTCTCTGCATTGGTGGATGGCGTCGAAGTATGGTTTTTCATTTGCTTTACTTGAAATCCAGGTTGCAACTCGAGGCTTAACTCCATCCACCGATGCAGAGAAAGGCATCTTCAACAAAAACCATACTTCGACGCACAAGGGAGATGTGAATTGAGTTTTGGATTGTTTTATATGAAACGGTGCGTTTTAAGTTTATTTGAGTTGGGTTATCTTTAACCATGTGCCAGCCGTGGTACCGTTGTTTCAATTGTTTTTTAATTTTTTAGACCCAAATCTTAAATTGGGATACAGATATTACAAAAGACCCAAAGTCTTCGTCAATGAGATATGCTTTGCATGAAAGCTACCAAACATAGGAAAATGAGATTAGCATTGGAGCTTTCATACTTCATTTTTCAAATATCTCAACAGCCAATATCTTAGATAACTAAATTTTTATATTGAAAGTAGACAATTAATGCCTCTTTTATGAAAAATAATACTTTTTCTAAAAATATGTCACACTATACAGAAAGTTATTTTTCAAACTTTGAGAACCTCATTTTATATATACACATGCATCAATCAACAATAATAATTATTATCCGCACCGATCCAATCACTCACCACAATAGCCAATGGCTTATGACATAATAATTAAATCAAATAAACATGACCTCGATTTACCGATAAGCTAAAGAAAATCGCATGATTAAAATTAATTCATTTGATAAATACGTCATATGTTTGAGATACCCAAACCCTTTTTTTAATAAAAAAGAAGCCAAAAAATTAATAAAATACAAAGAACAAAAAGACACTAAACGCATATAAATTAAGAACGGTTATGCTTAATTATAATAAATAATAAATAAATTAATAAGCTAATTGAAGCAAAAGCTAGCTTGATCAAAAGAATTTCGAATGGAAAATAAATGATATGCATAATAATTAAGTAAAATAAAAATAACAACAAAAATGACTTCTATTTGCTGACAAGCTAAAGAAACGACACGATCGAAGTAAATTCAATTGATAAATACGTCATATATTTGAGCTGACGGCCGAAACCTTTCTTTCGAACGAAAAAAAGCTAAAAATTAAAAAAAAATCAAAGAACAAAAGGAAATTTAGACAAGATCCACAATAGTCAATAAAGGAAAGATTTTAAAAAGCAAAAAAAATAACATAATATATATATAAAATCTTCCACACACTCTGTGTTATTATTTTTGGTGAGTAGTATAGCAACGATATGCTTTCTTTTCCTTCTAGTGTTATTAGAAGCTCATCACCAAAAGCACCACTGCTATTACCAATAGCAATTGAAAAATTCATTTTCTCTTCCATTACTCTCTAATAAAACTCTCTTATTATACACAGAGGCAGAGCTAGGATTTAGAAAGAAGGAGGACAAATTAATATAAAATTTGATTAAAGAAATATTGTACATAAATGGAGGGGGCAAAATGATTGAAAGTGTGTTAAAAATTTTGTTTAGGCAAGGTTTGAACTTTGGTTTTAGCAAGGCAAAAATTTATTTATTTTTTTTTTAAAAAGGAGGTCGGCAATTGCCCCCTTCCTCCAGCACATATCTCCGCCCCTGATTATACAAATAATTTTCTGCTTGGTACCATTTGTTATATATGA